TGTCCAGTAAAATTAAACTGTGTTTAACCAATTTTTCTTGAACTAGCCCATTAGTTGCATACAAGTTTTTAAAAAGTCTGTATGCACGGGATTTATCGATTTTCACTTTATTTATTTATTTGTATTCCACTATTCTCATTTAACTTTAAGACCAAGAAACCTTGTCCAAATATTAGTCTGTGGACAGAAATTCTGCCCGTTTTTAAAATGACTCTTATTCTGAAACGCTTCACCGGATAAGCTATGTCACGTCGAACGAGTTGATTGGCTGTCTCCTGCACCGGAAGCCAAACAAGGATTCGGCGTTTTAGTGATCTTACGTGTCATTTCCAGAGTGTCAGTGATTCAGACCTGCTGTAGACTATTAATGAAAAAAACCCAGGTGAGTTTTCATCATTTTCATTCACTCTCACGCTGTTCGCAGACTTTAAAACCTGAACACTAACCAGCTACCTGTCGATTTGCGTTCATTGTAGATAAATAAAGTCAGCTCTGTCAGCTGACGTTAGCTATTTAGAGGCACTGTAAGTTCACTACAAACCAAAACATGATCATAGTCACATTTTATCTCACTGTTTCCCTTAAAAGTTAATTCAATTAAGATAAAGTGCTGATGTAATCTGTATAAAACGCAATATCCTTAACAGGTTGTTTTAGTAGTACCTGTTAGTTCTACCTGTTTTAATCTGTGTTTATTCCCATGTGTTTAACCTCGTTTTATCACCTGTTTGTGTTGGTTGATTCTTTGGTTTGTTTTTCGACACTTTTCAGGGACGTAAATATCACACTATCACGTGTCCCAGACCGCCTGATAGAATGAATGAATGAAATCTGTTGATCTGAGGCGACACCATGACCTCTTCTTGTTCTTCTTGTTCTTCCTTTTCTTTTTCTTCCGGACGCCACAGCGATCTGCTGTCACACCAGCCATCGACATGTCATCACTACAGCTTTAAATGTTCTCTGTGCTCTTGCTCTTTTCCATCTGCCCAAAAGCTCGATATTTAACATCCTTTGTCCAGTTTATCCACTATCCCGCCTCTTGCATCTCTAACTTTGTCTCCAAACCACTTCTGCCTGAGCTCTCCCTCTGATACTCCCTCCCAATGGAAGTCTGAGCATCTTGATCTTTATCACCTCCATGTCATTGGCTAATAATTAAGTTGAATTTAATGCAGCCAAAAAGGTAGCAAATGCCTGAATTACTGCATCCAAAAGAGTAAATGCAGTAAAAACACTAACAAAATCACCATCACTGTGATTTTTATTGTATTAACTCAATTGTACTCAAGTGTACAACTTTGTAAAAAGCCATTTACTTTTATTCAAGGCCAGTAGATATCAGGAAAATGCACAAACGTCTGTAACACAGATTCTTTGCTTTAACTGTAAGTGGACCATATATGTTTACATATATAGTTACTCTAAAAAGGGCCATTTTGAATCAGGAAGACCCTGACCTAAGTTAAACACGTTAAAATAACAGTACAGAACAGTACAGAAGTTTAGTAAGTAAGAATATAAATAAAACAAAGTGGAATTTAATCATCCATTTTCATTTCTATTCACCTTTCCACCCTGAATAGAATTGAGTGTAGTAAAATGGCTCAATAAAAATGTGACAAACCAAAGTAAACAACACAGTGGATCAGGAAATAGTCTTTGATCTGCTTATTTGTGTTTCTGTCCCCGATACCAACGTTTCCACTCTCATGTGTACATAAGTTTTATACTTTAGGAGGGCAAAGAAGTTCACATTTAGAGGTCAGAGAGGGAGAGAATAATTTTCTTCAAAGTAAAAAAGTGACTGTATTTGAAAGTCACTTTTAATTTTAAATCCAACACAGAAACAAGCATGACTGATTTTTTTCTGTCCTTCCTTTAGAAAATGTCTGATTTTAATCATGAATGTGAATCTGGTCTTTTCAGGGCATCAGCATCTGGCTCTTGATGAACTTGGGTAACTGTTGGTAACGGCAGAAAAATGAAGGCTTTGATCCTGGTGGGGGGGTACGGGACCCGACTGCGACCGCTCACCCTGAGCGTCCCAAAACCCCTCGTGGAGTTCTGCAACAAACCCATCCTGCTGCACCAGGTGGAGGCACTGGTGAAAGTAAGGCAAAGATATCAATGAGGATTTAATGACGCTACTGAGAGGTTATTTTGTGTTGTAGTCATGAGTCACTGATTCTGTGTGTTTTCAGGCTGGGGTGGACCATGTGGTTCTGGCAGTGAGCTACATGTCAGAGCTGCTGGAGAGAGAGATGAGAGTGCAGGAGCAGAGAGTACGTATGACAACCTGCACTGTTACAGCAAACACCACCAGGTTTCTCCTGCATGGAGGATATATGATGGATTTATTAATCAGGATATCATTTACTGAGGTGTAAATGTGCACAACAGTCACTGTTGAGTATGTTTGGTTCCCTTTTCAAGAAACTATCGGCGTCTCTGCTTCTTATTTTTCTTGTTCTAGTGTATCCAGGATATTCAGAAAATCGGTAACAGGTTTTAGGTTCAAGATTTCCAATCAATTGGTCTGAATTTAGAAGCTAAGTCATCCTCAAAGGATACCTAATTATTCTGAGATTGTGTTTGATGCAGTGCGAGCCTGCAGTTTTAATTTTTCTATGGACTGTTTACCTGTGTGGAGAAATTTGATCATATGTGATTGGTCAGTATAATATTGGGACTATAAGTGGAATAAAACAGAAACAAAAAAATCTTTAGATAGATTTATAGTGATTAGTTGCGTGTCTCATCTGTGGTTTGTAGTTTGAAGGAAACATCTTTGTGGTGGAGGTGTGGTCCCTGGCTCAGCTGCAGCTGGAGTGGTGGTGCAGTGAGCTCAAGGGGGCGGTACCGGGAGGCAGATGAGCCATTGACTGGCAATGACACTGATGACGGTGTCTCTTTCCGTTTCTCTATATAGTGAAGGCAGAGTCGAGCAGGGAGAGAGAGAGTTGGACTGGAACGGACTGTTTCCCTTGAATGCAGAATTGTCAATAAAACACAACACTCATGAGCACAGTCACTGTGTGTGTCGTGTACTTTACAATCTTTAATCAGCGTGACTTCTGTGTTGTGCTTGAACAGGACCTCAAAGACTCGGTTGTTGGACTTGTTGGATTTCTGTATCTCTGGTCACACGTTAGGAAATAGATTCAGGAGACATTCATTTGGATTCGTGTATGATGTGGTGTGATTCCTAACTGAGCCCAAACATTAAAGTTGAACCTGACTGTTGTTTGTTTTCTTCTCAGCTCGGGATTCGTATCTCTCTGTCTCATGAGAAGGAGCCTCTGGGAACAGGTGAGTTTGTCTTTACTACAGACAGATCCAGATAAGCGTAAATGGCTCTCTGCAAGTATCCAGTAATTCAACATTGATTAACTCGTCTTTTAAAAACCATAGTAAATTATTGTGAACCATATAAAACTGTATGTTTGTACACAGCGGGTCCCCTGGCGTTGGCTCGAGACTTGCTGAATGATGACAGTGAGCCGTTCTTCGTTCTCAACTCAGACGTCATCTGTGATTTTCCGTTCAAAGATCTGCTGCAGTTCCACCGCAACCACGGAAAGGAGGGAACCATTGTGGTGAGAGAGACTGTCCAAGTATTTCCTATGCTTAGCTGCTGCATATTGACAGGTTTTTATTAGTTTTAGGTGATTTAGGGGAAGCTTACTACTGTGGGGTCATACTCTCTCTCTGTGTGCGTGCATGAAGGTAACACGGGTGGAAGAGCCCTCTAAGTACGGTGTGGTGGTGTATGAGGCGGACAGCGGGAGGATCCATCGCTTTGTGGAGAAACCACAGGTCTTTGTCTCCAACAAAATTAATGCCGGCATGTACATCTTCAATCCCAGCATGCTCAGCAGGATCCAGGTGAGGAGGCTCTCGCACTCACTCATAGTGTCAATGGTAGTGTGTTATTTAGTAACAGACTCAGTGTTTCCCACAGATGGACTTTACCTTGGTGGGCCAGCCTGTTAGTATCTGGTATTATTGAAGACTGAAAGCTGAAAGGGAGCTCCCTTTCATCTTTCAGTCTTCAATAATACCACCAGTGCTTTCAGCCTTAGTTTGGATCAGAGCGAAGAATGCATCTGGGTCACTGTTCAGCCTGTCATTGTGGCAGTCACTGATATCATTCAGCTTCCTGATCAGAGCTCATCCTAGATTCAGATGTACTCAGACTTCACTATCTTGGACTGTAGCTACTAGTGATTGCAGTCCTCCTGCTCTGAATATCTCCTGCGAGACCCTGGGTCACTCTAACCCGAGCCTACAACAGGTTTGTGTGCTGCGTCTCTGAGGTTGAAGAGCAGACTACAAGAACTACAGCCACCAGCTCCTCTTCAACATGGTGGAGTTTAAATCTACCAGCAGGATGAGACTCTCTGGAGAGGCACCTGATTATGTGGGAATCTGTGGGAAACACGGAGTCTGAAGACACTATAGTTTTGTTTATTTTTTGGACCATGTTCATGACTTTTTTATGCATTCTTTTTGCAGCTGAGACCAACATCCATTGAAAAAGAAATATTTCCTGTCATGGCAGGGGAGGGACAGCTGTATGCCATGGAGCTGCAAGGTAACTAATACTAATATTAAGACTGCAGTACTACAGCACATGACTCTTCTCCTCCAGTGGCGTAGTGGTCAAAAAGTCACTGGTTTGATTGCAGCTGGAGACACAAATCCGCTTTCGGGTTGCGTCAGAAAGGGCATCCTGCGTTTAAAGAAAATCTGCCAAATCAGACATGTAGAGCTGCCCACTGTGGCGACCACTGGTGGCAGGGAAGCAGCCAAAAGTAGCTTCTACTACAGCACAGGACTGTAAAGCTGCATGTGAGATCTGAACATTCAGCTTTTGCCCAAAATAGGGGCCCGTGGAGAAGATCGTATTAATCAAAATGATGCAAGTCAGTTCATAAAAGTATACAGTGGTGACCTGACCTTTTTCTTAACACAGCAGTAGGATCAGTAGGATGGAAATGTATGGTTTGAAGCTGACCTGTGTGCTTGATCTGGTCTCTGCAGCTCACAGCTCCACCAGACGTAAGTGTTTGGGCTTTTCGTGCAGGTCTGGAGAGGAAACGTTTGCAGAAAAGCACCACTAACCTTTATGCTCAGACCTAAAGGTTCTCTAGAGTTCTGATACAGATGTTTAAAAAAAAAAAAAAAAAAAACCCAACAAAAAACATAAGAGCTCACCAGCAGGAGGAATCACTTGTTGGTGCTTCTCTACATCCTCATTCCTCTCTGAGATCCTTTGGCTTTGCTGAAACAGTGGAACCACGTAGTGAAACCTCCAACCCATCCTGACCTGTAGTCCAGGCAGGCTTACTGGTCCCAGTCAGTAGTGGATTTCCCTTTAGAAGATGATGTGATTCATCATGTTTAAGTAGTAACAGAAGGTCCTCGAGATTAGCAGCAAAGCATTTACAAAACTTAAGAATCACAGGATAAATTAAAAAAAAGAGCTTGATTTGTTCTTTAAATTTTCTTGGAGGAGTAGGAATTTGTACAAGTGACCTAAATTCTGTTTTGTCTTTGTAATAAATATGGACAAACCTATGTAGGCCTAAAAGGCTAAATAAATCCATTACATTTTAATAACTGATCTTTGGCTAGTTTATGCTTGAATAAAATTAGATAAATTCAGGTTAAATCTGTATGTTAATCAGAAACCAGAAACCCTGATGTTTTTTTATGATGCTGGTGCTCGTAAAAACCTGATTAATGTTGTTTGTACCAGTCGTGCTTTCCTGTGTGTTTTTATTCAGGAGTTTGGATGAATCTTTTTTCAGGATTGGTATTTATTGAATTATGAATTGATGGTGATTTTTCTCCCTCTTTTTTTTTTTTTTTTAAAACAGATCTGTAGAAAATCCATCAGTCTTTCCAGTGAAAATGTGACTTTTTTTAACCCACTGAACTGCATTTTCAGTTTTTAGTTTAAATCTGTATCTCTGCTTGTCCTGGTTTCCACTTTTGCCCCCACAGCCTAACCATCGGTAAGGGGGTTAGCACTGTTAGGCGCTGGGTTTGAACCTTCTGGTTGATTTCTGTGTGTTTGTTTGCTCCTGAAATTCATAGTCTGCGGTTAGGTTATAACTGGTGATTTTGGTGGCCGTAGGATTAGATGTGAGGGTGCCTGTTTGCCCCGGTGTACTCCGCCTCTTCTCTCTTGATCCTGCCCCCTCACAACACTAACCTGGATATTTGGTTGAGGTAGATGAATGATTTGTGCAGCTATTAGAACAAATGCTGAAAACTCTGCTGGCAGTTATGTAAAATTTATGGCAGAGTTTGCAGTCAGCAGATTAATGTCTGCCTCTTACTGTGACCTCATTATTCAGTGAGTCACCTGTTAAAGATCACTAGGAGCTGCCTGGTTGTTTTCAGGCTTTCACCTTCCACCCTCTGTCCGTCTGTCTGCAGGTTTCTGGATGGACATCGGCCAGCCTAAAGACTTCCTGACAGGGATGTGTATGTACCTCCAGTCAGTACGACAACACGCACCTGAGAGATTACGCACAGGCCCCGGTTTCCTCGGCAACGTCTTGGTGGTGAGTGCACTTTGTTGATGTGACATCAAAATAAGGGCTTGTACTTCATGGTAATGATCATCCCCTTTTCTTCTTCTCTGAAGGATCCCACGGCACAAATCGGGGAGAACTGCACCATCGGCCCGAATGTCACCATCGGCGCCGGCGTTGTCGTGGAGGACGGCGTGAGGATAAAGCGGTGCACGGTGCTGAAAGGGTCGAGGGTTCGATCGCACTCGTGGCTGGAGAGCTGCATCGTGGGGTGGAGCTCGTCAGTCGGCCAGTGGGTGAGTGGGAAAGATGTGTGGACGTTCTTGATTCATTCATTTGTTGTGAGACGCAGCTAACTGTGTCTCTGTCTGTTTAACAGCAGATCTCACTTGTGGTGATATTTGTACTCTATAACTTAGCCTAGTTATTTTATTTGTTTCTTTTTAGACCTTGTTGTATCTGCTTACGCATTCATGGATATAATTTATTGGAATTGCTCAAACTTGTCTGTTTTTTGTTTGTTTTGTTTTTTTGTCTTAAAGTAATAACCAAATGGGACTTTTGGCCAACTTCACAGTTCACTATTATATCTGTCCTTTTCACATAACTTATAAGAGCTAACGCCAGAGAAGCAGTAGGAGAACAGAAGGAGTACTGAAGGCTGTGGCAGCCGTACTCTTTCTGCGGTCTAGTTAAATCCTCTGTTTAAATCCTCTGTACAGCACATGCACAAAGATTTGTCACGTGCGATGGTAGATGACTTGTGTCTTAATGTGCGTCCTCAGGTGCGTATGGAGAATGTGACGGTGCTGGGGGAGGACGTGATCGTCAATGACGAGCTTTACCTGAACGGTGCCAACGTCCTGCCTCACAAATCCATCAACGAGTCAGTCCCGGAGCCGCGAATCATCATGTAGCGTCAGGTGGAGGAAAAATCCCAGCGCCTTTTATATGAAGACTATGAGGAAGACCCAAACTGTGCCAGAGAAGAGGGAGGGACATTCAGGCAGTTGAATGGAAGCAGGAGGAGGAAGAACAAAAGGCTTCTTTGTCTTTCTTTTTATACATTAATTTGGACTTGTTTTAGCCCTGCTTGGCTGCATTTGTCAGAAAAGGTGACGTGTGTCAAGGAAGGTTTCTTAAAGTACTGACAGGTCAAACTCTCATGTTGGCAAATATGAGAAAAGTCGAGAGGGGGCTTCTTGGTGGAGTAAAGATCAGTATACCGAGAGGGAAGGGGGAAGTGGGTGTGTGAATATATGAACACTGTTGGTTAGTTTTACTATGCATTTACACTTCCTGAAAAGAACAATCAAACCACAGCTACAGGTTGATGTCATGACTGATGCTCAGAATCTGATCTGACTTATTGTGAAACATAATGCAGTATTGGTCACAGTTAAAGGTCCAGTGTGTAGGATTTCTGATGCTCCATTAACATAAATGTAATCCAGGATTTATAACTAGTGTTTCTACTGAAGACCAAAAAGGACAAACAGCACTGGCTATAAGTAAATGGAACTGAAGGTGCTCTTACATTGTTGTAAACAATAGACTGTATATCAAAGATGGACAATGCCACCACTGTTTGCTTGTGGAGGCTGCCACGTTTTTGTTTTTGTTTTTGTTTTGTTTTTTGGAAGTAGAATATTTACTTACACAAAAGTGTGAAGTTGTGAGCTGGGTCCAGCAGAGGTGAAGACTAGGAAAGAGATGAGACCAGTGTCAGCACACTGTTTAATCCATGCCACACCCCAATTTTAAGCCTTGGCAAAATCTTAATGGTTGAATTATATTTAAATATATAAAAATCACTGTCCATACAGTTGTTACCAACCTATAAATGTGTTTATTTCTGCTGCTTGTTGGAAACAAAGGGCGATTCAGTATCTTGCAATCTACAACTTCACCACTAGATGTCACTAATTCCTACACATTGGTCCTTTAAAGCCATAGCAGTTTATTATTGAGGGCAGCAGAGCAAGCTGTAAGCAACTTCATGGAAATGTGAATGTTTTGAGTTGGAAGTCATGTTTGCATCCACCTGAATGTAATTGACATCAAATAACACTCAATAATTTGATTTGTTTTTATACGTAAATACCAATGACTGCAGCTTTAATCATGGGAAATGTTGGTTATGTCTCGTGTTCTTGATGAGCTTTCCAGGTTTCTCTGTTCTTTGAAACGGTTTGTTTCAGTGTCAGACGAGTTAATGATCATCAATATGTGCTCCAATACTGTAGTGGGCGAGCTGACAACTTTATAATGTGGACAACTTTAGTCTTTAAGATTAATTGTACATTATAAATAAATATACAGCGCTGTCTAAAAGTTCCTACTCCACATGAAGTAAGCAGAAATGTGTTTTGGTTTTGTCACAAATTAGGCAATGGCCATCAGATGCAATAATCCTCTTAAAGGTGAGAAAAGCAGATAAGGAAAAGTTTTCAATATACTAAAAAAAAACTTCAAAGGAACAGGAGTATAAGTCACCGCTTCCTGTCAGGGTTTTCAGAGTAAAAATGCTTAGATTGTAAATTAGCTTTCAGCCTCGAGGAGAAGACGTAGCCTAATTTAGGACCAGTTTCTTGCATTGTCACCAAAAATAATAGTCCTGAGGCCCAAAAGATGGAAAGAGCATGGCACCATGAAATTACTGGACCTTAAGTTGGAACCACTGACATCACTGAAGTCCACCAATGACTGACAGATTTCTTTCCAACTAAAAGCAGGGGCGTGACTCCAAAAGATCATCATATAATCTCATGACCAGACTGCCCAAAACTAAACAAAATGTATCCGACCATCAGTAAACTTAATAAACTTCATGAATTTTTGACATTGCATCAGTAAATCATAACATTTTCAGTATCACTAATGTTGACACTCTCATTCTGTGTTCGGTATTTAATTTGTACAATAAACTGTGTATATAATTAAAAAGACAACTTTCAAACAAATCTAACGCTAACATTTTAGCCACGTGTCATTTCCTGCTACTAGCATAAAAATAAAGAAACGTAAAGAACTGTTAATCAGCCCTGTGCTAAGACTGGAAAAGTTGTTGGTGTTTTCACATAGCAGTTTCTCCTTAACTGCTGATAAGACAGACATCTCTCCCCTGAGACAGTTTGTAAAAAAAAAAAAAGCGTTTTAGCTTGAAATAATTACACGCCTGAAAATCTTTTAGGGGTATCTGTTCTGCTTTTCTGTTTTTTTGTTTTTTATGTTGCTGGGTCAGATTTTCATATTATATGTAAACAAAATACACATTGAAGGTTCAGGGTGTTTTTGGATTTCTTTACATACTAAATGGGGACAGTACAGTTCACAAGCACTGGGTAAAACCCCTCTGTAGGCTTCCAAGTGCCAGCCAGTCAGCAGATGAGGGGTTTAAAGTTTGAACTGAGGGGCTGCATAAGGGACTGGAATAAGGAAAAATAAGGATTGTTTTTAAACTTGGAATCATTCTGTGATACTAGAGTGGAGTCAAAAAGCATAGAGCAGGAAATTAACAATATAAATGCAACAGGTTGCCTTTAAATAAATGCTTTCATGTGGTTAGTCCTGTGTTAGTCCTGGTGTATCGATGTAAAGCAGTGATTCTGCTGTTTGTGGTGAGCACTATTAAGAGCTTAATGTGCAAAAGACATTGAGTGAAGGAAGTTGGTCTTTGTAAAAAAAAATTTAATTTCTGAAAGGAAAAATATAATCTACTGACCACTGCAACACGTCTGATCTCGTATTATTGGATGTTTAACAGGTGAAGGTCACAGTAAATCTCATGTCAGTGATAAAAATTGTCACCACAGTTAGATTCACCTGTCTGGTCTCTCTGCTTTACCCATGAAATGTAAAGGGCATGAACATTTTTTTCTTAAAACGTCACAAGCCTTTGTTAATGTTCTAATTTTAATTTAGAGATATAAAAACTTTATAGAGTCAAAGGTTGTTTATAATTTTTACCTGATGTACATAACATCTGAAATAATTTTTTACATTTAAATCCAAATCTGTTGGTTTTACAGACACTTTTGAGCTTTGTTAGATTACTTCACTAGACTACCATACAAATTGAAATGTATACACAATTACATTTTGTTTTTGCATTTAAAGTATATCTGCATCTAAATAATACCAATTTAAACATTAAATTGCACTGAAAAAAAGTCATAGCTTTTTATTATTACGTTTAGTAAAAAAAAACAACTCTTGCACAGTTGACGTTTGGACGGATCAGGGTGTGTACCACACTCAAAAAGTCCCTGTTATTGGTCTAAAAAACGAAAAAATATTGATGACACACAGAAATGTAAAACTACATTTTCACAGATACAATTATTAAAGCTCGTAAGATTGACTATTACCAGTTAAGCCAAGTTAGTTTATTTGTAGAGCCCATTATCCCGCCTGAATGGCTTTATAGACACATGACACAGACAAACATATTAAAACAAGAAAGAAAATATACAAATAATAAAATATAAAAGGCTTTCAGTGTCTTTTAACATTAAAAGAAAAACCCTAATAAGCTATTGAAATGTTAAAATTCTTAAATAAAACTCTAATTTTTTAGAGATTAAGATTTCTAAGTGGAAATAAGAGCTAGCTAAACCAAAAACCTGTAGATAAAGAGGGCGTGTGCTGTTCCACTCTCACAGTCACAGGTAAAATCTTCATTGGTACTTTATTGTGCGTGCCAATGTAAGGAAACAGCTTCTCAGTGAAACTGAGTTTGAAGGTGTGTATGTGTGTGCTGGTGTCAGGATCGAAGAATGAGAGCTTCCCTCTGTCACAGTCCAGCTGAACTTTGACCCTCTGCAGCTTCTTCACTGAGAGAAGTTTATCAGGAAGTGGTGGAGCGGCTGCTGTGTATTGTCCATCCTGGAGACATATTTCCCAGAATCCAGTCTGTAATTGTTCTTTTCTCTTAACAGACTCTATTAGCACACCGAGGCACCTGATCACATCCTTTCTAACCTCAACATGCCAGCTGTGAGTCCCTGAGTCGAAGCCCTCGGAGCCAAGAACAATTGGATGGTGGTCAAACCTCTCTGGATTGTTGGGAAGCTGCTGTCTCTCACCGAGACTCACACTGGTCAGATCTTCTGAGAGGATGAGTTGATGAGCTGTGTTTGGATCCAGAATCACTGGAGTGCAGGAGACCATATCCTTCATGTTCTTCCAGATGTTGAAGGTTAGGTTGCCCAGGTGTTTGGCCACATCTATCAGAGCTCCTGAGACCACATGTGGTTCCTCCAGCAGGGTGCGCTGCTGGACTCTGTTCACTGCAGGCTTGATGTTTTGCAGAAATGAGACATCTTCCGCTCTCAGGTTCTCCTCTGTGGCTCTGATTGTGTCTAAAAGAGCTGCTATTTTTCTGCTCAGAGCCTCCGTCTTCTCCTTGATCATCTGATTGTTCTGTTCCACTTCTCCCCTCAGAGCAGTGATTCTTGCTTTTTCTTCTTCTTGTAGAAACTGGTGCATTTTTGCAAACTTCTCCTTGATCTTCCTCTCTGTGTGTAGGGCCTGGACTTTAATATGTTCTCTAGTTTGATCAAAGTCTCCTTTAACTATTTTAAAGTGCTTCAGTTTCTCTTTTAAGGGATGTAGTAACACCTGAAGCACTTTTCTGTGATCCTCCACAGCTTCTTCGATGGTTCTGAATTTGTGTTTGTTGTGTATTTTTGAATCCCTACAAACAAGATACACTGGCAGCTGATGGTCCAGACAGAAGAGTTTGAGTTTCTCAGAGTGCAGACTGCAGTGAGCCTCTGACTCTTAAGAAGCTTTTTGATCTCTCTCCAGTAAGAAAGCTTCACACAGGTTCTTTAACACCAAGTTACAGGGTGGGTCATCTGAAAAATGCAAATTCTTACAAAGTGGGCATTTACGTACTGGTTTCTCCTTCCACCACATTTGCAGGCAGTCTTTACAAAAGCTGTGGCTGCATGACAGCATGATGGGGTCTCTGAAGATGTCATAGCAGATCGAACAAGAGAGATTCATTTCTGACTGAGAGGACATTTTGCCTCTGAGTGAAAAAAAAATGCAGCTAGGGTAAGTAGAGACTGAAGATGTATCTTGAAACTTACTGTTCTTCCAGCTGTGGCTTCTTTAAAAGTCCTGCTCGTTATATGAAATCAGCAGCAGGTAGAAGTGGCAGTATCCCCGATAGTTAGAAGTCCTCTTTGCTCCGATAGTGAATCTCAAACACACTGCTCACAAAGTGAAACTGTGACATATAACTGATGCCTGGTTTGATTCCAATTAATGTTTCTGTTGCAACTCTATTGTGGCACTTAGGCTACCTTTGCCTACAAAGCCTCTTATCTGCATGTACAGTTCTTTTGTCTGTTACAGCCAACCAAAAACGGTGGAGAAGCAGAACGTTAGATCATACCTCAGCAACTGGGAGAAATTTGCCTTCAGGGATTTCTGCCTGACAGGCTCTCTAACACCTGTCAGAGATGTATTGTAGCCCAGCATATGGAGAGGACTATGTATAGGTGACTGATTGCTCGTGACAAACAGTGGAAAGTAGGCAAATAAAGTGCAGGCGACAACAATCAGAGAAACAGGAGAGAAGATGGGAAGCACAAAACAAAATAAGATACAAGAAAACTAATTCTTTTTTTTTTTTTCATTTTTAATGCTAATCCTTACCTTAGAGATAAAAACAGACTAGCGTATAGAAAATAACCAGAGTACCAATCAGAACAAAAAGGTAGCCAAACTCAGCGATATCACCAAAAAGTAAAATTATTGTGACAGTGTTATTGTTACATCTTGAAAAATGCATATTCGTGGATCCTTTTGATATTGTGGAAGATGAGTAATACTGTAAGATGTTTTCACAGAATCGAAATATTCTGGGACGTCTTGAGTGATCAGTGGTTCAGGAGTCAATGTGAACTTCAAAAAAATGTTTACTGATTATACGACACATGACTGTGAGACCAGAGCATATGGTTGAAGTGTGACTGTGTTTAAGAGGAAATGTGTTTTGCAGTGTGTGCATGCATTTCTGTTACTGGTAGTGCCCCTCAGAATGGGGAGTCATCGCTGCTTTAAACCACAGTACTTCCTTCCTTGAGTCAAAAAGAAACTTTTTGTCCATTATTTGAAGATATTTTCTCTGCAGAAATGGCGGACATTGGTGTGGAACTGGACAGACTTGTTGCTGCAGTGCCCCAGAATCCAGATGAGCAACAAAAAGACGACAAATTGGCACAAACGCTGCTGTTTGTCCTGCTGACTGTAGTGCTGTATGGCATTGCTGCAGAGGCTTTTTTTATTAACCTCCTTTACCACCGTGAATTGGTGAGTATCAGCTCAGTGTACTCTAGTCTTTAAATCTAAATATTTATTGCCTGCTTTTTATCCTCTCTTATTGTGACTTTAGAGGTATAAAAATTAATTAATTAACTGTAACAATTAAGCAATTGTTGTGATATATCAGCTGATAAGATTAGATACTAATGTAGAACATATCTAATTGCAAAAGCTTCTATTCCTTTAGGCACATTTGTTGTGAGCTTGTCTCGTTTTAACAGTAATTTGTTTATATTTTACCTAATTTTCCTGTACTTTAAAAAAAAAAAAATTTCTTTTTTAAAAATTCTTCTCTGTACAAGTAAACGTTGTACTCTATCATCAAATATGACGCATTGACAATTTCTTTCAAACTAATTTGTAACTTCCATTGCAGGCTGTCTCAAGACTGAACAACAGATCAGGTACACAAGTCTCTTATTACATTTAACCTTAATTCAACCAAGAACTAAAATCTCGAGACTAAGAATATCTTTTGTGAGCATATCTAAAAAACAAAACATAAAACCCCCCGCATTTTTGATTTTTGATTTCATTGCAGAACAAGATGGTGCAATCCGTGGTTTTGCACATCTGACAGGTTGGATAACTTTTTTTTTTTTTTTTTGTAAATAAAACAAGTGTATACCATCCATAAATAAAATAACCGTCGTCATGATTTTCTGATTTGCATGATTTTTGCATTTGTTTCTCTAATTAACGGTCAAACTGTATAGAAAAGGCTTCATTTCCCATTGTCAGTGATAAATATTTTGTCTTGCGTGCTGTATTTATATATCAGATGTAAGGCAGCAGAGTTATATGCTGAGTATAAACGGTGAGTTTGTTTTGAAACTCAAACTCTCGATGAAGCTGCAATAAACACACCAAGATTTGATTTCAGAGAAAAAAGAAGCTAAGAAGAATATTTTTAATTTTATTCATTTGTTGGCACATTATTACGGAGCCCCGCAGGGGACATGGGAGGTGAATATTATCACAAAACTAAAGTCCTGCATTATCAACTGTGTGCTATCAGGGGCATTTAGATCTTGTTTAAATGGGGTGGCACAAGACGGATGAAGAACAAGGCGAGGTGACTACAGGAAATTCAAATTTTTATGACAGCGTACAAAAAAATCTGATTAATAAAACGCTGGGTATAGTTTAGAAGCAATTGTGCAGGTGTCTTCTGTCCCTTCTGTCAGATCAACTCTGCAGTCCCTATTTCCTTTTGAACAATTCAGGGAAACTAGCAGTTTCACAAAACAGATCATAACTGGCCCAAAACAGGAGCTGAACTTTACATAAATTGGTTTAAATGTTTGCCGTGTCTGACTGGAAATACACAACTTTAAATTGCTACATCTATCTTGTCTTTTATCCCTGCAGGCGGGTCGGTTCAAGAAAACGAGGTGATGCTTTGGCATATAAATAATGTGACTGTTCTCAGCGGCATGGCCTACAAAGACGGTAGGCTTGAAGTTCAGGAGGAGGGATTTTACTATGTGTATTCCAAAGTTTGCTTTAGTGACAGTGGGCTCTGGAACCAGTCACCTGATTTTTTTCACCACTTTGTTATGAAATCTGCTCACCTACATGGAAATCATTATACCCTCATGCAGTCACAGAAAGAGTTACGGGTGAAGTCAAGCGACTTAAACGACAGCTTTCTGGGTGGACTTTTTCATTTGCATAAAGGTGACGGAATTTTTGTGAGGATAAGGACGAATTTAAACGTTTTGCAATATAATGTTTCTGAACATTTCTTTGGTGCATTCATGATGTAGCTTTACACAGCAGGAAATATCAGAAAATCATCTGGTCTTTACCAGGCTCTCACATGATTTAAGTCTAAGTATAAAACAACATGACATATTACACCCAATGACTGTAGAAAACAATCATTGATCTCACTGTTTTATTATGCATTTTGCAAAAGTGTAATCAAAATGATTCAGTAGTTTGCAGACCCACCTTCAACAATAATTAGTCAATAAGTCACTACTGAGCCCAACATATAAAACATTAGAAACTGAACTAAGAAAGCGTTATCAGTGGGTTGTGGCTGTGAAAGCATTGACAGGATTGGCTGTCCTCAGGTCTTCAGGAAGGCTGTTCCACAGATGTGCAGCATAGTAACAGAAAGCTTTCGCACTGTGGGTTTTACTTCTGACTTTAGGGACACTTCAAAAACCTAAAAACTAGATAAAGAATCTGTTCTGTGGCTGACAGGAAGACAGTGGAGATACTTAAAAGCTGGTGTTGTCCATACTCTCTTCTGGCCTTGGTCACAACCTGTGTACCTAAATTCTGGAGTGTAGTAGGGTTCTAGTTTGTTTTTAGGGAGGCCAGAAAGTAGATCATTACAGTATTCATTGTGTTGTTTTGTACTTTTTTTTTTTTAGCTTTATTTTCTCACTATTTCATTCATGTATGATGTACAACACTGTGTGTCCACTGCGGCTGTTTTAAAGAGCTTTAAAAAAACAAACAAAAACTTTGCAAGATATTGTATTACTTAGTTTTCGTAGTTACTGTTCTTACTGTTTATGTGACCACATAATTTCCTCGGGGATTAATAAGGTAATCTGTTTCTGATTCAGTCTTTCACATCTTTGTGGAACAATCTTGGCCCACTCTTATTTACAGCGTCACTTCAGTTCATTAAAGTTTGTTCTGTTTGTTTATGCACAGCTCTTTGAGGTCCTACCACAACATTTCAGTCAGGTTGAGGTTTGCACTTTGACTTGGCCATTGCTACCAACTTGTTTCTTTTCTTTGTCAGTTATTTTGTATGGTCTGAGTTTATGCAAGCTTTAGTTGTTGGTGTTGTGATTGGTCCAAATGCAGCTTTGCAAACCCAAACATTGCTGCCATGTTCTTTTTAGAGTGAAGAGGCTTTCTCAGTCTCGGTCTCAGTCTTTTCTAATCGTACTATCATGAAATTTAACATTTAACATGATAACTGAGGCCAGTAGAGACCAAGATGTAACTCTTGGGCTTTTGCAGATTCTATGAGCACTGCACGGTTTGATCTTGATGTCAGTTTGTTGAGAAATCCACTCTGGGAACATGGCATGGTATGTTTTCCACATGCAAATAATCTTTCTCACTGTAGTATGATGGACTTGGAATTGTTTGAAAATAACCTTTTAGTAACAGTTGCTTCTCTAAGATCTGCTGATATGTTTCCTTTGTAGTGACACACACCTGAATGCTCCAGACCAGCAAACTGCTGAAACCGTGATCTTTATACTTTGATGATCAATTAATTAAGTGGATCTGATTAGCAGCTCCTGGGTGCTACTTACCCTCTTAAATTCCTTTAAAACAGCAAGGATCTTAGTTTTTCACACACTTTTTCTGCAGTCAGCTTTTGTTTTTCAAGTTTTTGGTAACAATATAAGGTAGCTATGTAATATTGTGTCATGTGTGTTTGCTTATCTGAGGTTCTACAAGTAATCTAGTAAGATTAAGGTGATTTGTTTTCATTATTTCCTGATATGTAAAAACTAATAACTTAAAGAGAGTGTATTTTCTTTTTCATGTGCACTGGTATATGGATATTAATGGATATCACTGGATATTAATTTGCCTCTATGTAATTTACTTATAAATGCTGTGCAGTTTAATGTCAACGAGAGCAACAGATAAACATATAACTCATGTATGTCTATACACATGGGATTGTTGTACCAATTCAAATTTTGTTCAGC